CATTCCCTCATCTCAACCTTTTCTGAATTTTTTAAAAAATGGCATTGCCTTTTTTTCACATGTCTAGGTCATTGACTTATAGAATGTTCCACATTCTTGGTGTGTCTGATTGTTTATTCATGATTAGATTCAGTTAACATATTTTGGCAAGAATATTTCACAGGTGAAGCTGAATGTTTAACTGCATCACAATAAGAGGCACATAATATCAGGTTGGCTTACTATTGGTAGTGCTTAATTTGGTCACTTGGTAAATGAGGTGGTAATCACTATATTACTTGGATATGAAGGTACCTTTTTCCTTTATAATTATTAAGTAATCTGTGGGGTGATCCTTTCACAGACTCTGTATATCCTGTCACTTCACATCTTTCACTCAGTGTTTTTAGCACCCATTCATGATCTTTGGCTTTATTAACTAATATATATGGGGTTGTAAAATGGTAACTTTTATGTCTCTCATTTCTTTCACATTTATTGATTAGAATTTTACAGCTGTTGCAGTCTTGACCCATGATAAAAACTAATTTGAAGTTTAAAACAGAGCTGTTATATCAGTGTAATTAGGTTGTCCATAGCACCTACCTTCTACTTTACAGTTTAGATTTGTACTGTAGTATTTAATTTGTATTTTCAATGAAATAGGTTATTAGTGTTTGCTTTAGGTTCTAGATTTTTCTTAAGAAACTACCTGCAGTATTGCTAATTATAATTCTGTGGATTACATCTATAAGCTACTTAAGGATTTTTTAGTGCTTCCCTTCTCACCCATATCGATATTTTATTTGGACAGTTCTCTTAATTTTGGTAACTAGTTGAATTCTAAAATATGTTCATGAACCAAGGAGAACCTTAACAACGGAGAAGTAGGTGAACTTTCTGAGAGAGTGGAGTAAACTTTTAAATGAAATAGAACTAGTTTATTTAAGTATAAGTTAATCATTGTTGATAAAGGGAGAAAAATGGTGATAAAATAGTTACTGGTTTATAAAGCATTGGATTGAATTATATCTTGAATAAATTTCAACTGTCTGCTTTTACTATGCCATGGAGCATGTTTCTGATGCCTGTTGGTTTATTCATGGAAGGCATTCAGGCCAAAGATAACATTATATTAGCCTAATTGTAGTTCATATTGAGGTGTTTTTGTACTTTGCAGCATAGAAATTTAATGTGTTTGAAGGGAAAGTTATAAACTACAGAATAAAATAAATTGCAATATTAAGATACTCTGTATGTCCAAAGTAGGAAAGGTTGGGAAAACCGAAACTCAGAATCAACAGTGATTATTGTTCTGTTTTAGAATTCACAAATCATCTATATGATAAAGATATAGAGACCAGTGATGTTTTGTTGAGGGAGAACTTAGGAACCTACCAGGTTTGAAAATTAGAATGCCTTGCATAATTCCTTTCCTATATTATTTATGACAGTTAAATTTTCATTTATAAGATAATTTGTAATATCTGAACATGTGACAATAATGATATTTCTTCTTTGTGTTTTAGACTATCCCCATAAATATGGTCCACAGGGGGGCTGTGCAGATCATTCAGTATTTGAAAGGATGAGGAAATACCAGATGACTGGTGTAGAGGTAGCAACACAGGTAAGGATTTTAATACTAGCTTGCATTTAAGAAATGAAAATGAACTTGAGCATGTGTTCCTGCGTTAAAAAGATATGTTCTAGAATTTCTGAAAGATTTATAACACTGTGAAGAAATACAGATATTTTTTAATGCTTAAAGAGGCCAATTAACTTGCGTATAATAAGGACCTACAAATAATGTAAAATAATGTATAAATCTGTGCAACTCAATAAACATTACACTACATGTCCAAAACATACCCAGTCTTGTTTTATTATAAAATTAAAAAATATTCAGTTTGAACTTATGTTTTCTATAAATGTAAGTATTTGTATAAAAATTAGACTGGCCAACTCCCTCTTGTTTGCCATGGATTTCCCAGTTTAACACTGAAAGTCATGTGTCTTTAAGCAAACTGAGATCATTAGTTACCCTGATGATAATCTCAGTGCTGTTGATACTTTAATTGTAAGATTTTTTGCCATTTGACTATTGTTCTTTTTTTTTAAAAATATATCTTTATTGATTTCAAAGAGAGGAAAGGAGAGGGAGAGAGAGAGACAGAAACATCAATGACAAGAGAGTCATTGATCGAGCCTGCAACCCGGGCATGTGCCCTGACCAAGAATCGAACCCCGATCGCCTGGATCCTAGGTCGACGCTCAACCGCTGAGCCACGCCCGGCTGGGCTGACTATTGTTCTTTTATTATTATTTTTACCTTCTTTTTCCTGTCATAGGTGGTAGGTTTATAGTTATTCAAAACACAAGTTTAGCCCTGGCTGGTGTGGTTCATTGGTAGGAGTGCTGTCCCATACACAAAAAGGTCACAGGCTTGATTCCCGGTCAGGGCACATACCCAGATTGGGGTTTAATCCTGCCCGAGGGTGTGCAGGAGGTAACCAATTGATGTTTCTCTCTCACCTCAATGTTTTTCTCTCTCCTTCCCTCCCTCCCTTCCTTTCTCTTAAAAAAAACAAACAAAAGAACACCACCAAAAAGAACCCATCAAAACACAAGTCTGAAATGAAAAAAAAAATATTTTTATGGTAAAACATTTATCATGTAGTTTAGACATGCTTTCTAAAGTTTCTTAAGCTACTTGAGTTTCAGATGCAGATTTGTGTGTTTCTTGATCTGCAACATGCACACACAATTCTATTTCAGGTGCGTTTTTCAAGTATAAGTGAGATTTTATTCCTGCATTCATTGAACAACTATGTATTTGATTTTCTGTCATATCGTCAGAGTCTGCTGGTTCTAGGAATATTAAGACAAAGGCTTATCCTAAAGAAGTTTTTAGTTTAATTGGAGACACAGAGAAACAGTTGAGGGTAAGGGATAGAAGAGGATTAATCATAGGAGGAATTGTTAACCAACCTGAGAAGTAATTGAGAACAATAATCATAAACTAAAAGAAAAGCAAGAGTTAGGTTGGCCATGAATAGATGGAAAGACAGGAGGATCAGTATATTGGCACACCTTGTTTTATTGCACTTTACAGATGTTGTTTTTTACCAAGTGAAGGCAAGACCCTCCACCAACAAAAAGATTATGACTCGCTTTATTGCTACACTCACTTTATTGATGGTGGTCTGGACCCGAACCTGTAATAACTCTGAGGTATGCCTGTATTCAAAGGCCAGAAAAGATAGTAAGACTATGAAGTAATTTTTAACTCTAGGGGAGAGGACAAGACTACATATTGCTAGGTATTATAGAGTTTAACAGCGGCTAGATATAACATTAATATACAAAAAAATACATCACATATTTTTATATCCAGCAGCAGCCTATCAGAAATGTGACAAAAGAGAAGACATTATTAATAATAGTATCAAAAATATCATGTATTGCCCAGCTGGCATGGCTTAGTGGTTGAACGTCGACCTATGAACATCGATTCCCAGTTGGGGCACATGCCCAGGTTGTGGACTCGATCCCTAGTCGGGGACATGCAAGAGGCAGCCAATCAATGACTCTCTCATCATTGATGTTTCTGTTTCTCTCTCTCCCTTCCTCTCTCTGAAATCAGTAAAAATATTTTTAAAAAAAGAAAATCATGTATTGAAGAATAAATGTAACAAAGAATTCTAAGACCTATTTAAGGAAAATTATAAAACTATGCAAGATACGTTAAAGGAGACTTATTTTAAATAAATGGAGAGACATACCTTGTTAATGGAGTATAATATATCATAAAAATATCAATTTTTTCCATATTGATTTTCAATATAACTTTGATATAAATTACAAAAGGGTTCACAGCACTTAGATGGGTCTAAAATGTTATATAGAAAAGTAAAGACTAAGAAGAAGTAGGGCCCATCTAAAGGCGAGGTGATGAGCAGGAGAGAGGGATTTGCCCCAGAAGATATTAAAACTTATTACAGTCATTGAGAGTGTGATATTAATGTACGGATGAAAACAAATTAACCAGAGGAGTAAAATTGAGTCCTCAGCAAGAGACTCATACATATATGAAACTTGGTTATGTGGTAGAGTTGGAATCTCAAATTGGTGAGGAAAAGTAAAGATTGAATAAACAGACCGAGAAAAAAGTTTAGTCGTTGGGAAAAAAATGAAGTTGGATCTCTATCTCTTACTATACTTAAAACAAAACAAAACTTCAGATGGATTAAAGTATTAAATGTCTAAAATGAAAACTTTGAAACTCTTAGGAGAAATATTAAGTAGAGATTTCCCATTCTATCTGTGAGATACTGGTATCCAACTAGCTTTCTTGCAGAAAACAACTAGAGAACTAAATAAAATATGAAGCAGTTGTTTTCAGACATTGGAAACAGGCACTACAGGATGTGATTTTTGAGAGGGAGAAATAAATATCTCTGATTTCCCTGATGTACGACTGGAGGTAAAATTTCAGGTATAGCACAAGGAAAGAGGGATCTCAAGAAGAGCAGAAAGTACACAGCAGTCTTACTGAGTTGAAGAGACAGGTCAAAGTTGAGAAAGGCAGAATATGAGAGGAGATTAGCTACCCTGAGAAAAGGACCCAGATATCTGCACAAGTATTTTCTTGAATTTTAGATTAATACTAAGCTATACATGCACAGGGTAAAATTCTATGAGGAAACTACCAGAGAAAGAAAAATTACTGTGGAAATAATGTACTATTAGAAATTATATTTTGTAGAGATCCCAAGCCATATTAGGAGTAGATTAACTTCATCTGAGTTAAAGGCTGTTCAAGACCTGCCCTAACTAAGCTGAGAAACCAATCAAAAACATCAAGGTGAGTTTCAGGTAAATTAGCCACCTGTCAGAACATAGTTCAATAATACTTGTTAAAAGAGTACACAGAATGCAGATAATAATGTAACATTCACAATATCCAGCATTCACAAAATAGTACTAGATGACAAGAAGTTGAAAAATGTGATCCATAATCAGGAGAAAAACGACCCAGATAGAAACAGAAACAGACATTATAAACATTAACACAGAAGGATTTAAAACAGCTGTTATAAATATGCTCAAAGAATAACAGAAAAACAAAATAGAAGAGAGAATAGAAATTATAATAAAGAACTAAATGTAACTTATAGAACTGAAAAGTACATTTTCTGAATTGAAATTTAATGGCTGGCTTAAGAGCAAATTAATTACTGCAGGAAACAACATGGGTAATGCACATAAAGGACAGTAAAACGATAGAAACTATCCAGATCTTAGCACAAAGGGAAAATAATTGGAGTCTGGAGGAACGGGATGCAGAAAAAATATTTGAAATATTAATGTCTCCAAAATCTTTAAAGATAAACAAGATTCATAAACCTTTAAGAAAAATTTTTAATTTATGGTCCAAGTAGTCAGTGAAACCCAGGTAGGATAAATACAAAGAAAATGTCCCAGGGCATATTATAATCAAATTATTGGAAACCACTGAAAATGAAAAAACCATAAATGCAGCTAGAGAAAAGAAGATACATTTATATATAGGGGAACAATTGTGAGAATAACTCCTGACTTCTCATTACACAGTGCAAACTGAAGGTTACATAATGACATCTTTAAAGTGTTGGAAAGAAAACTACCAAACGAGTATTCTGTATTCTGTGAAAATAATTTTCAAAAATGAGGGCAAATTAAAGATCTTGTTTACACAAACAAAAGCTGAGAGAACTTGTAGGAAATTTACACTACAATAATTGTTAATGAAAGTTCTTCAGGTAGAAAAAGGATAAGAGATGGAAATACAGATCTATACAAAGATGTGAAGAGCATAGTAAATATGTAGGTAAATATAAAGGATATTCTTTTTAAAAAAATTACGATTTCAGAGAGAGGAAGGGAGAGGGAGAGAGAGAGAAACACCAACGATGAAAGAGGCATTGATTGGCTACCTCCTGCACACCCCCTCCTGGGGGTTGATGCTCAACCTCTGAGCCACGCTGGCTGGGAAAGGACATTTATTCTCATTTTAAAATTTTATTTAGAAGGGGTAGTAAAAGACATTTCATGTAAATGGAAAGGGGAAAAAAAACTGGGGTAGCAATATTTATATCTGACAAAATAGATTTTAAAACAAAGGCTATATAGCAAGAGAAAAAGGAGGACACTATGTAATGATAAAGGGGACAATCTTGACAAGAGAATATAACCCTTGTAAACATTTATGCACTCAACATAGGAGCACCTAAATATGTGAAGCAAGCCTTGATGGACACAAAAGGAGAGATTGATAGTAGTAAAGTCATAGTAGGGGATTTTTAACACCCCATTGACATTAATAGATAGATTTTCCAGACAGAAAATCAATAAGGAAACAATGGCCTTAAATGATACACTAGATCAGATGGATTCAGTTGATATTTTTAGAGCATTTTATCCCACCCCAGCAGAATATCCACTTTTCATGTGCTCATGGAACATTTTCTAGGATAGACCTCATGTTAGGACACAAAACAAGTCTCAGTAAATTTAAGAAGATTGAAATCATATCAAGCATCTTATCTGACCATAGTGGTATAAAACTAGAAATCAATCACAAGGAAA